GACATGGGGTTCGATCCCAGAACCCTGGGACCATGACCTGGAACCATGACCTGAGGCAGATGTGTAATGACTGAGACACCCAGGCGCCCCTGTTTGTGTCATTTAAAGCCCATGTTTCCTTATTGATTTTTTTCCATCTGGACGATCTATTAATTGATACAAGTGGGATGTCAAAGTATCCTATTATTATTGTATTGCTGTCAATTTCTCCCTTTAGGTCTCTTAATATTTGTTTTATATTCTTTGGTCCTCCTACATTGGGTGCATATATATTTATAAAAGTGTTATCTTCTTGAGGTTGATTTCTTTATCATTATGTAGTGCTCCTCTTTGTCTTTTATTATAGTCTTTGTTTTAAAGTCTATTTTGTCTAATATGAGCATAGCTATACCAGCTTTCTTTTCATTTTCATTTACAAGGAATATCTTTTTTCCATCCCTTCACTTTCAGTTGGTGTGTGTCCTTACTTATGAAATGAGTCTCTGAAAAGCAGTATATAAATGTGCCTTGCTTTTCTATCCATTCAGCTACTCTGTGATATTTTTTTAGAATACTTAGTCTGTTTGCATTTATTTTAATTATTGATAGGTAAGTACTTATCCCCATTTGTTATTTGTTTAGTGACTATTTTTATAGTTCCTTTCTATTCCTTCCTTCTTCTCTTTCTTTCTTCCCCTCTGGTTTGGTGACTTTCTTTAGTGTTATGTTTAGATTCTTTTCTCATTTTCTTTTATATATTTAATATAAATTTTTGCTATGTAGTTACTGTAAGTTCACGTATATCATCCTATGTATATAACTGTCTCTTTTAAGTTGATAGCAACTTATATTTGAACATTTTCCAAACCCTACATTTGAACTACCATACCCCCCATGTTTGTTTTTGATGTCACATTTTACATCTTTTTATTTTATTTACCTCAACTAATTATTGTAATTTTAGTTAATTTTACTTTTGACTTTTTGACCTTCATAGTAGTTTTATAAATTAACTCATTACCTTTACTATATATTTACTTTTTCTGGAGAGATTTTTACTTTTGTATTTTTGTTGTTGTTGTTGTTAATAATTAGGGCTATTGGGTGCCTGGGTGGCTCAGTGGGTTAAGTCTCTGCCTTTGGCTCAGGTCATGATTTCAGGGTCCTGGGATCAAGTCCCTCATCGGGCTCTCTGCTCAGCAGGGAGCCTGTTTCCTCCTCTCTCTCTCTCTGCCTACTTGTGATCTCTCTCTGTCAAATAAAGAAAATCTTTAAAAAATAATAATTAGTGCTATTTCGCTTCTGCTGAAAGAAGTCTCTTTAACATTTCTTTTTTTTTTTTTTAAGATTTTATTTCTTTATTTGACAGAGAACGATCACAAGCAGGCAGAGAGAGAGGAGGAAGCAGGCTCCCTGCTGAGCAGAGAGCCCACAGGGCTCGATCCCAGGACCCTGGGATCATGACCTGAGCCGAAGGCGGAGGCTTAACCCACTGAGCCACCCAGGCGCCCCTCTTTAACATTTTTTATAAGGCCAGTTTAGGAGCGATGAACTCTTTAAGCTTTTGTCTGGAAAACTCTCTCTCTTCTTCAGTTCTGAATGATAACCTTCAGGTAGAGTGTTCTTGGTTAGAGGTTTTCTCCTTTCAGTACTTTGAATATATCGGGTCACTCTCTTCTGGCCTGCAAAGTTTCTGCTGAGAAATCTGCTGATTATGGTGTTTCTCTTGTATATAACAATTGGTTTTTCTCTTGCTACTTTTAAGATTCTCTCTTTAACTTTTGACACGTTAATTATAATGTGTCTTGGTGTGTATCTCTTATTTGGAGCTCTCTGGGTCTCCTGGACTTAGATATCTGTTTCCTTCCCTAGGTTAAGGGAAGTTTTCAGTCATTATTTCTTCAAATAAGTTTTCTGCCTATTTCTCTTTCTTTTCTCTTTCTGGGACCCCTATAATGCAAATGTTATTATGCTTGATATTGTCTCATAGGTTCCTTAAGGTATCTTCATTTTTTAAAATTCCTTTTTCCCTTCATGGCACTGTCTGGGTAAATTCCATTGTTTTGCATTCTAGCTTGCTGACTCATTCATCGGCTTCATCCAGTCTGATGTTTAACACCTCTAGTGTATTTTTCAGTTCCGTTATTACATTCTTCAGCTATGAGGACTTGTGTTTGGTACTTTATTATATTTTCTATCTCATTATTGAATCCTTACTGTGTTAATTCGTTCCTCTCCCAAGTTTGGTAAGCATCTTTATGGCATTTACCCTGAATTCTTTATCAGGTAGATTACTTATCTCCATAGCATTATGGTCTTTTTCTGAGTCTCTCAGTCTTAGAGTGCCCTTGTGTAGTTGATGAAACTTCTCGTTCAACCTTGCCCTAGCTTTTGGTTGTTTCTTAAAACTTTGTGATTGTCTAATCAGCCTGATTTAATATTGATATGTCCTTGTCATTGAGGATGTACCAAGGCCTGTCAGTGTTCCAAGGGGAGAAATTTCATTTAGCACCAAGTTTCAGGCTAATCTGAAGCTAGACCTACAGGCAGCAGCTTTTAAAATATGCAAATATGTTGGGGCTTTGGGTGGCTCAGTAGGTCAAGCATCTGCCTTGGGCTCAGGTTGTGATCGAGCCCCATGTTGGGCTCCCTGTTCGGTGAGGAGTCTGCTTTTCCCTCTCCTTCTGCTCCTCCCCCCTCACACCACTCATATCCTCTCTCTCTCTCTCAAATAAATAAATAAAATCTCTAAAAAATACATGCAAATATAGTCTAGTGCAGCCACAGTCATAATCCCTGCTGGCCTACAAAATGTGGAACTCTACATGAATATATAAGCTCTTTCTGGGAGGACTTTTGAGCCATATTGAAGCACAGAAAGCGCACAAGGATGGTGTCTTCCTGCTTATGCTCCCTGGGAGCATCTCTGTAGCCTCTAGATGTAGGGAAAACCTGAAACCTGCTCCTCAGGCCAAAGCTGCAGCATAAGTAAATGGTTTTTTGTTTTTTTTTTTTTTTTTTTTCACAACAAGACAGGGTTGCACTTTAGTCTGCCATCTGCAGTGCCTGGAAGAGGTGGCCTGTCACATACTGTCTTTCTGACGGTGACATTCCCTTGGAGCTCAGGAATGTCAGCCCCCTTGGCCACCAGCGGCAGGCAGTCAAGGAGCCTTCCCTGTGTGGATTTCATATATCCACTGGCATTAACTAGGCAGCTTGAGAATGTAGGGGTTAGGGCACACTCTCCAGCTTCAGAAAGGCAGCAGGAAGATGTCTTGACTGCACGTGCCTGGGGGCTTTGGGAATGCAACAGGAGGAAGAAATGTCTTGTCCATGTGCATATTCTGGCTTTAGGCTGAGAGCAGGAAAACACTGAGACTGCTCACAGTTGCCAGCCCCAACCAGTGAGTACAGACGTGTTGCAACCACCTGTGCTCACCAGCTTTAGCTGAGGAGTGGGAGAATGCTGCCACTGCTTGCTCTTGCCTCCCCCAGCTAGGGAGCAGGGAAGTGTTGCAAATGGCGCCTGCTCTGGCTTCAGCAAGGCAACCCAACAGTGCCATCACCAATTGCCCCTGCCTGTCTTTGCACGATGGTGGTGGGAGGGTTTTGCATCTGAGCTCACCCACCTGTGCTAGCGAACTAAGTGGACGGTGAAATACTGGCATATGCCAGTGGCATCCTCCATCTCTGGGGGAGTTCCTCTGCCCCTGCTCTTCCATTTGCTTTTAGATTAGCCAATAAATCTCCTTCAGGTATAGTCCCAGGTGCTTTTCAGACTAATTTTTTTTTTTTTCTGTGTCTTCAGGTGAAATGCACACAAACACTTTAAGGGGAACACCTTGGGGCTTTTTGAGCAGAGTGGGGCCACATGGCCTATAGGCTGCCCCCTCATTGTCACCATGCTCAGCCTTGGCCTGTTGACTATTTTCCATTACTGCATAAGGTTTTATTTGATGAAAGTTTCCTGAGGATAAAACAAATCTGGAAATCTTGGGTTAGCTCCTTAGTGAGTAGGTAGGCTCCTTGAGGGGCTGTCTGCCACATACAGGAGCTGTGAGCTCTCCCCTGGGTCTGGCTCGCCAACTCCGCCTCTGACCAACCCTCTTTCTGGCAGGAGCCTTTCTGTAGATATGTTAATAGCACGGGTCCAGTTACACTGGGTGGGTGTTCTTCCTGTTCTGAGCCAGGAAACTTGAGTGTCTGAGGTGCTGTTGCTGAATGTTCTCTGAGTCCTTTCTTGCGGTAACCTCATGATCCAAGTTTGCATCTTTGCAAAGCAATGCTCCTTTTCCTGTGACTGAGACCCTGTCCTCAGGTGAGAACCTGGATGCAGGTTCCCGTTTTGTCTGTCACTCTCTGGGTGACCTTGACCCTCACACCCTGGCTGCAGTAGAGGGGGACCTGAAAACCTTGTTCCCTCCACATTCTCCAGGGCAGAGCGGTCCCTCAACAAACACTGAGTTAAGGCAACTGCCAATGAATGAACAAACAAATCATTATTCTAAAGGAAAATTGCCCATTGGATAATAAGTTCAAATTAAGAGACATGTAAACTTTTAAAGGACAGGAGAAGGACTAGAAGATAAGATAAACTTATGTTTCCATTTCCTCATCCATGAAACAAGTAAAATCCCTAATTTTAGGTCATATTACAGCTCTACCGTGAAGGGGAATTAAATCTCAAGTGTGTTGAAGGGTACTTTCCAGACTGCAGAGTCTAAACACAAAAGGCTTAATTTTTCAAAGGCAGATAGAAGGTTAATACCCAAGTAAAAGAGTTTTTAAAATGAGTGGTACAGGACTCAAGCAGAAAGCTGAAATGGAGATATTTGCCTCTTTTCTGTATCTTATCTATTTAGAAAGGATGCTTACCCTCTCTAAGCTATAATGTGCTGTAAGCCCATAACCCATTCCTCCTATGGAGAATACGCATTCTCCAAAATGCTCCTTCTCCGTGGGTTAATGTAAAAGTTTATCCTATATCGATCTATGATTAATAAAGAAGACTTTCTGTAATGCTTTCAGCCAGATGTGTCCAGAGTGCCAGGATTCAGAAATCCGTTCCAAAGCAGCCCCAAAGCCTCCAGACTGCTGAGGGGCCCATGCAATGCGGTGATGTCCCTTGCTGTTCTGAGATCCTTTCTGGTGCTGTGGAAGCAGCTGGAAGTGCTAAAGGAGCACTGGGGCCGACTCAAACTGCGAGGCCAGGACCTTGATTCTGTCTCCCTCCACAAACAGTTCTCAAAACTCTACGGGTGAGCATTGCTGAGGTGGAAATTGCCGTGAATGAGTGGAATCTGGTGTCTGATAAATTCCTCCCCTTATGCTGAGGGCGAGATTTGGTCTATAAACCTGGTATGCCCAGCCCCACTGAGCGCAGAGGAAGCTGGGTGATGTGTCCTGTCACCAGCGCTTTATAGGAACAGCTGGGTTCTTTTGACTACAGGGACAGTGCTGTGTTCCACTAAGCAACACTGTATCTCATTTACCTAGAGTTCTGTCTCGAGGAACTTGTGCTTCTCCGGTGTCCCCATGGTGCTGACTCGTCAGCTTTTTTAGTTCATAGGATCCCAGCGAGCACTAGGTAGGGAGAGGCTGCTGCTGTGACCTCCTCCCCATTTCCTGTCCCATTGGACCCAAGTGTTGAGTCTCTCGTATTTTTCTCTCTCTCTCTCTGTAGCCAGAGGTATAATATGGTGCAAGGTCTTAGGTCTGCGGGAGGGTGGGGGTGTTAGGGGTGTTTCACAGCTTCTGGCTCTAGCTGGGATGACTTAGCAGGCAAGAAAGACATGTTGCTTCTGCCATGTGTTTTGTTATCAAACAAGCATCCACCAAGCGTCCACTCACCATTCTTGGACCTTACTGGGCACAAGAAGGTTCTCTTTGGTGGCATAGTCCGAATGGTCTATCCTACAAGTTATTACAGTCAGCTTTCCTGGTAACTAGGCAGTGAGAAAACTTGTCAATGTTTTGAAGAATGAAGAGTGAAATTATATGTACCCAAGGGGAAAAGTCCTCGGGATTTAATATTGACTAAGGGCGTGGCAACTGTGGTGAATTTAGATGGCAATATGAGTTTCTATAATGGGTTGGGAGGTTTATACACAATGACAGGAAGCAGAATGTGAACAAAAATAATTGTCAGAGAATCTAAATAAGAAAAAATACGATTGTTTGCTAATTTCTGTCTCTTATCTTTAATAGAACTGACATTCTCTATCCCAGCATGAAAGCTATAGCTAGGCGGATGGGGAAAGAAGATGAATTCGAAGGTATTATAATAAGCAGTCAGTCTATTCTTCCCCCCAAAGGAGCTTCAGAAATCGAAATAAAAACTCAGCAGGTATGCAGGAACTATTTTGAATGTGACTTTGAAAATTTGCTTTACGGCATAAGCATGTAAAACTACAGATATACCCAAGTGGCATTATTTTCCCTAAGATATTAAGTGGAGATTGAAGATATGTCAATCACTAAACAGCCTCGGAGAGAACTAAGTATTTAAAACATGTGGGGCTTTGATTAAGTAAATAACTAGCCCTAGTATCTCCATTTTGTAGGTCTAGAGCTGTGTATTTTGATTCTCCTCTAATTAAAGTACACTACCACAATAAAAGATGATGATAGAGAACATACTGGCATCTTAAATTTAAAATCTAACACAAAATTATCCACTGCCCCCAACACATACATCCATGAAAAATGGGATATTTAAAATAGCTGCTATGATTGATTGTTTTTCTGAGAATAAGTCATGATTTATGCACAGGTCCATTTGGTATGCTAGAAGGTCTATGTGGGAGGTTGTTTTTCCAAGGGTTTGTTCACCTTGGTCCTGGGACACCATCTCCACATGGCTGTGTTCCCTTATGTCTATAACAGGCAAGGCTGTGTTCTCCTTGTTATGGTAACAGGCAAGCAAAAATTCTAGCTGTTTGAGTGTCAGTGCAAGTGTCCCCTGAAGATCAAGAATTCAGTGGCTACCCGTCCCCCACCCCTGCAACACACAGTGTTGGGACCCCAGTCCCAAGCCCATTGTTTACCCTTCTGAGCCCTGGTTCTCTCTAGAACCTGGGGTCCTCTGACAGGGAGAAACATGGGCTCTACAAGCATAATGGGTAAAGTAAGGGCACATGGTTATTGGGAGAGTTTTCTCCTAGTCATGTTTGGATTTTAAAATATTCTCATGAAATCCTCCTTGATATCTAAATTGAGTTTCAGGCCGAGGGGTTTCTCTTGTAATAACAACTCATGAAATTCCTGCCCACATTCAGAGACCCCCAATATACATGAGGTCACCTCAGACATTGAGCACTTTGCAATTTAGCACGACTTGGTACAAAAGGGTTGTATTTTATCAACTGGGATGTGGGCCAGGAGAAAAGCTGTTGTCTCTAAAGAGGTGTATACCCTTGCAGAAGCACTTGGAAACCCAAGAAAGGAACCCTTCCTTCTCCCTGGGAGAGAGTAGCTGAAGAACAGGACATAGCCCCAGACCCTTCTGTAGTAGGAATTTGACTCAGGATCTCAAAGTGTAAGCTGAATGTAGAAAGTGACTCTTAAACCTCTGACTCTAGCTTCAGAAACTTCTGGAAAATCTTGAAATTCATATGATCCAAGAAGTATTAAGAAAAGTTAACAGAGAGATAGCACTGGTTGTATCAGAAAAATCCAAGAAGACGTGTACTCTCCCTACAGGTAAAGTATGTTTATTTTATTACTTCACAAAATAACATTTATTCATTTTTTCCCTAATTATAAAAGCAATCCATATATCATTTTCATGGTAAAAAAAATTACCACAATGTCCAGAAAATGATATAAAAATTACTTTTTAACACCTTGGTTCAGAGAGAACTATTAACACTTTGACATATTTCCTTCCACTTGAAGTCTTTTAAATAGAAAACATTTGTTAAGTTCAATCTCAACTCTGCTGATTCCCTCATAACCGAAATAAAGTTGAAATGGGTAAAACACATAAGTTTTCTTATTTGTAATATATTTAAGTGTGTGTGTGTGTGTGTGTGCGTGTGTGTGTATAAAATACATATATATGACATATATGTCAAAATCTTACAAATACATGTATTTGGGGTGGGAAGGCAGTCGCGATTACTTCCTTTCATCTGAAGTCTAAAGTCAGGACCACTCCATGGACATGTGATCAGTGCACTTACAGAGTACTTTGGCTTGCATGCTTTATGGGTACCATCTTGAAACTCTTGATTTTAACTTAGAATTTGTGTTTTGTGAGTCAATGGAGCATGCACTAAGGACTTAGAGACTTGGTCTTAAACATAGTCCCACTTCTTACTGCCTCCTCACCTTGCCAAGAGGGGTTCTCAGCTGCCTACTCTTCTGCTTTCTGGCACCGTAAACACCTCCCCGCTAGCATTCCCACCCAGGAGTTACTACTGCCCTCCACTCCACTGGGGACCTGATCAGGAGGAATATCAGGATATGTGTACCTAGTGGTATCTCAAGGACCCTAGTCTGGAAACATCATGGTATGTCTGATGGGTAACTCAGTGGGAGCAAGCCTATTGCCTATCCTGAGATTCGTACAATACCCTGGAATGGAGGTTACAATACCCTTAGGGTTGCCTGTCCACAGCGGGCCCCCAGGAGGGAAAGCTGCCTGGCTCCACCTCTCTGCCCCCAGCGAGGGCATGGGGCCACCAGGCAGCAACTGCACACACATTCATGCTTCCGGGCACAGGATGGAACCCCTGGGTGCCTGTGAGGGTTGCACTAGCCTCACAAGCATTCCTGTGCCTGGGGAGCACAGCATTAAAAACGAGTAAAAACACCATGACAGGTCAAGAGAGGGACTGCGGAAGAAAGAAACCACTGTGTCTTAGTACCTCTAGGGGTGCTTTTTCCCCCCTGCTTTTTCAGTAAGAAACCCTGTATTTTTATTTTGCACAGAGTGCCATAGATTACATAGCTGATCCTGTCCACACTTCAATGTCTACTCCTGACTCCTACTAATTCTGTAGGAAAATCCCCAACCTTTAAATGACGGAGAAGTTGTTTGATTAGCAAACTAAATTAGATCTTCCTTTTGAGACAAATTCCACAGACATTGTAATGTGCATTAATCATCTAGGTCCTCACCTAAGACATTGTCATTCTTATCAGTGCTTTGAGTATAACTGAATTCTGGAAATAGGGCTTTGGGAAAAGGCTATGCAATGAGAGGGCAAGCCACTTCTCGACTGGGGATGTCACCATACCCAGTGAGGTTAGCTTCAATGACAGAACATTTAATAAGACACAAAGCACTCGTTGTCTGTGCTCATTTGCTGCATCCAGGTGGCTCCCTTCGAGTCTTGGGAGAAAATCCACAGGCACCCAGCAGGTGCAACCCTCTGCGTGTTTCAGGCTGTGGTTTAATGAGACACCCGGATAGTGGGGGAAGGGAGGAAGCATTTTGGCCTTGCAGTTCTGCTGTGTGCTGCCTGGGGCAGGGTGCTCCTCGGCTGTGCTTGGAAAGAGCCTTCAGTAAGGGGCTGGTGGGAGTCAGGCATAGGGGAGGTAGAGTTACTGTTAATGGTGGTAAGGTAGATATTACCAACATTTGGCTACAGTGTGCTGGCCAATTCTAAGCTCGTTTTCAGATTCTACACTCATGACTTTTGAAACAAATGCCAATAGTGAGGATGTCTTGTTATTGCAGGTTTTGTTTTGGTCTGTGTGGCATGACTTGATGTGGGGGTCCTACTGTAGTGCGTTCCGCCAGGGCAAGTGATGGAGTCCCTGCTGTGTGCCAGGGGTGCTTTTATAGACATTTCTTCAGTGTAGTCTTCCTGAGACCTCTGTGGACCGGGAACCTTCAAAGAAGGCATTGAAACCTTGGAATGCCCACCCACCTACTGTGCATCTCAGCAGCAAGAAGTCACCATAGTGAATGGGGCTTCCAACAGGGGCCACTTCTTCATGCAGAGACCACCTTTTGCAGTCAAGGTTAGCTTGGCACTGGGAGTTTCTAGAGAAGGAGTTGGGAATGGAAATTACTGAGATCCAGGGGATCTCCCAAGCTCGTGTCCTTCCCTCAGGTTCTTCTCTCTCCCTCTTGGCCAACTCTGGTGTCCACATTTATTACCAGCCAGAAAGAAACCCTCCAATACTTCTCTGTCTCCCCCACTCCTTCCCACCTTGTCTTAGAGCTTAATCTTCTTGTATAATTTCTGAATGAGTTTCCAGTCTATCGGGGAGCATCTGAAAATGTGGCAGCCATACCTGGTCCAGTGCTAGTTTGTCAGAGCTGATCTGGTACTCCCCTGAGAACTTTAAAAAGTCACTCCAGACATCCTTGTTAAGTCTCAGGGCTTGACTTAGCAGAGAGCTGAGTTCCACTGATTCAGAAAGGCTCTGTTGTTCCCCATATTTGACATTTTGGCATTGAAGTCATTCTTTTTTTTTTTTTTTTAAGATTTTATTTATTTATTTATTTGACAGACAGAGATCACAGGTAGGCAGAGAGGCAGGCAGAGAGAGGAAGGGAAGCAGGCTCCCCGCTGAGCAGAGAGCCCGATGCGGGGCTCGATCCAAGGACCCTGGGATCATGACCTGAGCTGAAGGCAGAGGCTTTAACCCACTAAGCCACCCAGGCGCCCCTGCATTGAAGTCATTCTTAATTGATTTTCTCAATTTCTCTGAACTTTTATAAGGTCAGCCATCTCCAAAGTGGAATATCTATATCCCAGGGGTATGGGAAGAAAATATTAAAGCTTCTAGATAGGGGCACCTGGATGGCTCAGTGGTTTAAAGCCTCTGCCTTCAGCTCAGGTCATGATCCCAGGGTCCTGGGATTGAGCCCCGCATCGGGCTCTCTGCTCAGTGGGGAGCCTGCTTCTTCCTCTTTCTCTCTCTACCTGCCTCTCTGCCTACTTGTGATCTGTCTGTCAAATAAATAAATAAAATCTAAAAAAAAAAAAGCTTCTAGATAGAGGAAATCCATATGTAAGAAATCACATGTCACATTCCACACCAAGGTGTCTCAAAATGATCACTTTGAGGCAATCCACAAGCAAGCACTAAGAATAGTGGAGACACTTGTAATTCTGGTACATGCTTATTGTCAGTTACATTATGAGGTTAAAAAGATAACCACATCTGATAAGAAGCAGAAAAATAATTTAAAAAGTCAAGAAAACTTTTAGGAATGTGGATTGAGATCCATTCTCTTTGCTGGTGAGTTTCACCCTAAGCATATCATACTATATTAACCAGTGATATTATTGTAGGCAGTTAGAAAAACATAAATATACACATGTTAACAGTAAGTGGACAAAAATGTTTTGCTTGAACCTAAAGTTTCCATTCCCTTGGTAACATAAACTGGCAAAATACTCACTAATCATAGTCTTTGGGTTACCTATGTTTACCTAGCATCATTGATCATTGTTTGTTCCAAACCTGTTCATACCAGTTTTGCTTGTCATTGTGTTTGAGTAATTTAATTAAGTATTATATAAGCCAATGAAATGGGAGTACAAAAAGAGATCTGTCCTATAAAGACCAAGTTGAAATAGATAAACTGTGGTACATCCAGTCAATGGAATAATATTTAGTGCTAAAAAGAAATGAACTATCAAACCACGAAAGGACATGGATAGAAATGCATATTCCCAAAGTGAAAGAAACCAACCTAAAAAGACTACATATTGTATGATTCCAAATATATGAAACCAACCTAAAAAGACTACATATTGTATAATTCCAAATATATGACTTTCGAGAAAAGGCAGAACTATGGAGACAATAAAAAGATCAGTGGTTACCAAGGGTTTAGAGGGGAAAGAAGGATGAACAGGCAGAATACAGAGGATTTTTAAGGCAGTGAAACTATTCTGTATGAAAATATAATAATGGAGAGATGCCAATTACACATTCGCCAAACCCATAGCTTCACCAAGAGTGGACCATAACGTAAACTATGTACTTTGGGTGATAATGAGATGTCATTGTACACTCATCAGTTGTAACAAACATACCACACTGGTGTAGGATGTTGATAGTTGGGGAGGCTGTGTGTTGGGGGAGAGGGGGCATGGACTATGTGGGAAGTCTCCGTACTATCTGCTCAATTTTTCTATGAACTTAAAACTGCCCTAAAAAAAGGATACATTTGGATTGTTTCATGGTCTTTTAGTTTTCTTTCCATAAAAAGAAACGAGCAAACCAATAAAACCACACACTAGAAAACCACACAACGTGTTACGGTTTCTAGAAGAAAGATAGTACAGATCTCCAATGAGTGGGTTCATACAAAGAAAAGGCCTAAGTTCTATGTTAGAAAATTGGCAAATGTTTGTATATTTGTATATTTTTAAGTTAAATGTTTTTAAGTTAAATATTTAAAATGTCAAGTTACTGCAATTCATTTTTTAAAAGCATTCTCTGGTTTAACAGACTTCTTTTGATTAACCCACTCTTAGTCTTGATTGTAAGGAAAGGACTTCTACTGTGTTTCACAAGGGTTAGGGGGCGAGAGGGGGATGTTTTGTTTTCTTTTTTTACCTAAACAAGTTTGGGAAACTTGTGGTAAATAATGTTAAAAAGGTTTTCTTTGCTCCAGACCTTCTCAGAGCCTTTACTATGATGGTGCGCACTATAAAGTTCCAGAAGAGAGAGTATGAAATGTTCTTTATTTTTAAATTTTTAAATTAAATTCAAGTTAGTTAACATAT